AGCCGCAGAGTTGGCGTCATTCAGCTGGTCGAATTGAACAAGAACCTAGAACCACCGCCTTGTACTGTTGAGCCCATGGCCAGGATCACAAAATGCGTAAGAGGTGATGGTCAAGTGGACGGATAAACATAGTGGATAAGTGGTAACAGGTATATCAGAAACTGTGGAGACTCACTGGTGTCGCTGTTGTGAAGCCGGGTACATTCGTTTCTTGGAGGAGTAAGATGGTGGCAACACACGAGCCGGAACACGGACTTTATAGAAAGTTATTCGATTTTTCGGGAAGCACAGACACAAAGAATGGGTTAAAAATGAACAGAAGCTCAGCAGATTGGAATGAACATGCCACTGGGTCTACTGGCGTCAGGTCGAGAGCTGTTTGTGTGTGCGCCCAATGGGATGCGTGAGAGAAGGTGCGGCCGAGAGAAAGAAGGGAATAGTTGAGGATGTGCTATCGAACTGGCTGTAGAAATGCCGTGCCATCACCGATTTGACATGCTCCGATTTTCGGACAGGCCCGTAACAAACGTCACATTTGTTGCCATTGGGCTGTAATATGCGATCCTTTGTGCCATTGGGCTGCCATTGGGCTGTAATATGCGATCCTTTGAGTAGCGGAATCCTTTTCAGGCTGGCAAAGGAGGCAAAGGTAGGACGAACTCGACATAAGATCCCAGGGTTTTGGTCCATTTGTGAACCATGTGGATGTTGATCATGGGCCAGGTGGAACGGATAACAGCCAACCAGGTCGTTCAAATCGGGTATTACCGAAGTTCAAAGCTTGGGAAAATTAGGTACCCGGACGAGATTAGGGAGGCATAGTGAGTTTAAGGGTACATCAGATGGGTTATTGTGCATTATTGTACATAGAAAGAAAAACTTGACGCCTACCGCAATTAGGGTGATAACAACAAGTGATTATACGAGATGGGACAGGGATGGATTTATTCCTAGTAGACTATCGACCAAGGGTTGAGTTTTCTAATATGCGATGTTAAAGTACAAGAGATCTAATTCAAACCGATATAAGCACGCAGATTGGTGATGTGGCTAGGGAAGCCAAATGCATAACGACTGATAGTAGTGAACTTCCGAGATGATGGACTAGTTAATCTGGTATTTATTACGTGAGTTAGATTGTACCAAGAGAGAAAGTACTGTAAGTCATCAGTCCCCGAAGCGCTGCTATGAGCTTCAAGTTAAAGATTGGTGCATGGCGAATAGAAAGCGTTTGACACCAGCCTTTCATTCTGGGAGCGGAGGGTTAGGGTCTCGGTATACATTCATTCCTCATCGTATACGTCATTCCTGGGAGCAGTAGGTAGGTGCATGTGTTTTGTTTGGATGACTAGGTTAGTTTTGGTATGGCACAACCACAATTTTGACAAGGACAGCTACAGCTCCACACGTCGATGGCATCAGGGTCTTCAGGCTATTCCATCTTTTTTTACGATTTTTTTCAACAGAAAGGAGGCCTTTTTTCATTTTTTTCTCATCGTCTGTAGCTTACAGCTTTGTCGGTTAAACGACACAACCGGGATGAGTCCGGCGGCAACAAACATTAACAGTGCTCTTTTGCTGATGTTCTCAACTGAGGGCCACTCTCAGAACCACCAGTGACGGGCGAAACACCGGTGCTACTGGAGGGGTGGCGGATGTACAAACGCAGCATAGTGCAACGCAACAGGGCAACCGTCCCTGTAGGACGTACTGGCCACCACACGAGGTCTTCATCTTTCGTGCATGCTACCAGATCTGAAAATTGTCATGCTACCGAGCAGTAAAAACTGCGGCTGTGTATTAGCAAAGAACTCCAGCTACTAGATATTTTATCCCGTCAGGGGATAGCCAGGCCAGTAAAACAGCCCAGTTATTTCAAACAAGCAAACGACAAACAGCCGCTGGAAAAGACAGGTCCCAGCGGCAAATGAGGCGGCAGCTACCATTGGGACAATGGGGCCAGAACGGAGATGGCCAGAGTGCATGAACCATGGCTAGGGGATGCCGGAGCGTAAGCTATCGAGTCAAACAGCAGCGTGCCGCAATGTTATGTGCGTGTGCTGAATGGGTTGTGAGGCGTTTAATAAGTTTTCAGCTATAAGGAACTCTGACTTTGCCGCTTTTATGTTGGTCAGGGATAGGCAAGACGAGGCACCATTCAATAAGCAAAGCGGATAGAGTAGTCCAGGCCAGGGACCTAGCTGGGAGGAACGTGGTATAAGTTGCTCCAAGCGAGTCATATGTAGCAAGGTGCGGCAGGCGAGGTGGCTTATTTTATATCATTGTTCAATTATTTTTCGCCCACCAAATATACCTAAGCCAAACTTAGAGGTGGTCTGGACCCCGTTTATAAAGGAGATTCGGGCACAGCCGGGCACTAAGGAGGGCGGCTGCGGCCTAACGCGTGCGGAAAGTGTCTTCAGATTCTGAAAGCGTATTTTGATTTGTGACATTTCAAAACCCATCGGGAAGACTGTTCTAGATACGAGTGTAGTAAACCAGAAAAAGAAATGCCGTTTGTTTGTACGCGCTTGAGGGCACACCAAAAGTTTGCTGGGTTTACGGAATTTACGGCGTGCATATGATTAGTTCGGCCTAGCCTCTGCTATGAAAGAATTTTTGTACAACAGACGGTGTAAAAGAATTTAATTTAGCTTTAACGCCTGAGTCATAGTGGCTCAAGGCCTACGATTATAAAGCGGGAGCGGTAGGAGAGGAGGCTGATCTATGGGACTAGCTTTTTGGTGAGTGAACTTTGGACGTTCGCGAGAGCCAGCCTACAACTTTGTGCATAACGGAGAGAGAAATCAGGATAGAAGTTTACAACTGGCCGCACGCACATCTTGAAAATAGTGACCTTTGTGTCTTGGAGATGGAAGGAGCGTAAAATTAGCAAGTAGAGTCCACTTTCTCGGGCAACCCGGAAAAACTAAGGATGCAACAGTATCTGAGACGAATATCTTTGATCTCTGTGGAGTGACAGGGCTCCTATGAAAGTATCAGTTGGAACAGAGCATCGGCAGGAAGTTATGTGGGTCCTGGAAGAAGAGAAGCTTGGGCTATAGGTACTTAACCAGTGAGTCAGACAGTCTAAGTCTTGTTGGCTCAGGGGAGAGGCACGAGTTTTAGCAGGGGAAGAAAATATGTCGGCATTTTTTATATCGTCCGTGAGGAGAAAGGGTTTTCCATGGGACATGGCAACCTAGACGTCGTTGATATACAGTGAGAAAAGAATGGGACATCATCCGAAGTAGGCTAGGCTTGCAAGTCCGTAGCGAAGCTCGGCGAACAGATCAACAGCCATCTGAATAACCACCAGAGACGGGCTCGTCCGACGGGTTTTCAACTGTTGCCCAAATCGTACATGAAGGGGCAGAACACTAAATTTCAGAACGTGCGCATATACAAGAAGTATTTGCACTTGAGGTAGTCAGTACATGAAATGAACTCCCTTCGACGATCATTCACATTGCCTCTTGGGACCGGTTCAAACCGCCTTCGGAGGCTTGTAATGAAAATCCTTGAAGTGGCAAGAATACTACTGGGTCCTCAGAGCCTGGAAAGCTGCACTACAACCCCTTTTTGCTTGCACTCCCCAGGGGGCTGGGGGCCACTAAACGACATAAACAGATCTTACTCTGGAGGTCAGGGTGGTAATTTTGATCATGCGCATCAGTCAATGGATCAGCAGAAGGCGCTTGAGGGATAAAAATCATTCAAAAAAAGTACTGAGCACCATTTTCATTCACTTTGCTTACATTTTGCATTTGCCTACGTGCAGTTTTTCGCCATTGTAATCACATTATACGTGCCACCGATATGCGCAGCTCAACATCGAAAAACGAGTTGAATTTAAGTATTGGCTTTCGGCGGGTTCTACTGGCCCAGAAAACCCACTCACCTGAAGTCTATGTGCGTAGGTCTACACAGCAGTTCAGGTTTCACAGTGCTGACTGAGGGGTTACTGAGCAAAATGAGAGAATAAGAGGCGTTTTCCGGATCAGAATAAACTATGTATCCGTTTAATTCCGGGATTCAACTCTAATTAATTGGATTAAGAATCCATATTCCCATTCATTTTGTTTGACTACCTTGAAAGCTCACCCGAAGGAAACATACAAACGTTGTGGTCAACCCGCCATAGGCGTTTAAACCGCCCTCGAAATTGAAGACATAAGAGGTACAGAAGGGGTATTTTCGCTCCGATTCTCTCAAGTGGCCGACACTCTCCTACTCGGTGTGGTCTACCATAGCACCTCAAGTCCCCCTGAAGATGGCCACTTCCTCACACGAACCTTTGAGCAACTCTCCTTTAGCTACCACTTCACCCATCTCCTGCTAGTAGGTGACTTCAACGCTCCACAGGCCTCCTGGACGGAGCTCCAGCGCGTCGAATCAGGCGAAATTTTTGCAGCGGCGCTGATTGCAGTCGTTCAACGGAGCACTTGGTCTCAACATGTCGTTGCACCCACCAGATACCGCGCAGGCCAACTACCATCCCTCCTGGATCTGCTCATCACCAACAAAAGACACTTCGTTGATCAGGTAACGATTAACGATCCACTGGGACAAGAGACCACTGTGTGCTGACCGTTGATTTCATCTGCTATTGGGCCAGAAATCCCGAACCTCAAACGTGGTTTCGAGACTTCTGCCGTGCAGACTTCTCAGGAATGCGCATCTTTCATGAACAAGTCACATTGAAACCAGCTCCAGTGGAAGAACTATATAGGACCATTGTCCAGAAAGTTTACGAGGCTGACGCAACGTTCGTCCCAAAAAACTGGCGCGCAGTCGGATGAACCGCAGGCTGCCAAAAAGGATTCGGCGACTTCTGGAAAAAAGATCCCAACTCCTTTTCAAAAATTTGACTACATGGGATACAGAAGATCAGCTGGCATTTCGTAAAATGCAGAACCGCTGTAAATCAAAAATCCGCAAATGGAACATACGAAAACAAGCCACCATTCTGGACCTCACTGGAAAAAACAAAAACGTACTGTTCAAATACATGAGACGTCGTCGCAGAAACAAGCCATCCGCGCTCTCCTTGAGGGACAGACATGGAGAACTGACGAATGGTCCAACAGTGGTAGCTGAGGTTTACAGAGAACAATATGCGTGTCTATAATCAGCCCCAGCGTCCTCGTCACATCCACTCTTATCAAGGCGTAACTACGAACAGCCTCTAACCGACTTGGTCTTCACGGTGGAGGACATTCGTCAACTCTCGCACAAGATCAACCCATTGTGCGCGTTGGGGACCGACGAGTTCCATCTAAGGATCCTGAGGGAAACGTCCTCCACACTGGCAGCTAATTTACACCTGGCGTTTCGGCAGTCGCTTGATGAAGGCTGCCTTCCCTCTGCTTGGAAGGAAGCGATTGTCACGCCAATCTACAAAACTGGTGACCGACTGTCGCCTGGCAGCTTCAGGCCTATAAACCTCACTAGCTTGTCGTGCAAGATGATGGAACGCTTTCTGAAGCGAGCTATCCTAGACCACCACATGCTCGTGTTTAAGGACAGCTTAACCCAAGCCAAGGACAAAGGACCCATATCGGATGCCATATATTTTGACTACTCAGAAGCATTTGATAGGGTCCCACAAGTCCCGCTGCTCCACAAACGCGAGTCTTACGGGATTCCGGGAAAAATCCTTCACTGGATCAAGGCGTTCCCATCAGACAGATCATTCCGAGTGAGAATAGGCTGGACCTACTCTTCTCCAGCGCCGGTCTCTATTGGAGTTCCTCAAGGCTCCGTCCTGGAACCAGTGCTGTTTCTGATCTACGTCAACGATCTCCCAAACGTTCCCGCAGGTCCACGTCTACTTTTTGCGGATGACTTGAAATCCTGGAGTTCCAATGCCAGTGCCCTCCAAATGAATGTAGACGCTGCCAAGCAGTGGTTGTTTGACTGGCGTCTTCTGCTGAACGAGGTAAAGTGCGCCCAAATGTCATTTGGAGGAGACTCAGCCAATGACTTTGTTATTCATGGTGAGAAAGGACCAGAAAACATCATGAGGACAGACGCCAAAAAGGAGTTGGGTATCTGGGTCTCCTAAAACTCGTCCTTCTCGCTGCACCATGAGAAATCGGCCCAGAAGGCATTCGCCATTTTATGAACGACTCAACGCACTTTCTCCCGTATTGCTCGCATGGATTTCCAAATACTCTATGGTGCCTAAGTCAGATCACTCCTTGAATACGCCGACCAATTTGTCTACTCAGGACGCACGAAAGACGTCACACTCTTTGAGCGTGTCCAGCGGGCCGCCACGAGAATTGTTACCGGCCTCAAAGCCGTGGACTACGAAACGCGTCTCGCGATGCTTGATCTCTTTCCCCTGGAGTACGGTCGCCACCGAGGGGACCTAGTTCTTACTTACGCCCTGTTTGAACAGAGCATGGCAAACAGGTTTTTCACCGTTAACCCAGCAAACACACGGCGGGGACATAGTAAGATGATGTTCGAACTCAGAGCACATACATCCATTAGACAAATTTTTTTCTCAGTTCGGATAGTAGCTGCGTGGAATGATCTTACTCCGACGGTTGTCCACGCTCCTTCTATAACCCAGTTTAAAGCACTATTAGACATTTGTTTATGTGAATCCTCGCGCTGGCAAGCATACTGTCCTGCGCTGAGAACATAAAGAGCAGTGCTACACCTTTTTTCACTTGTGCCTTTGAGGTGAACGACAGCCACTGACCGACAAGAACAAAACCGACCCGGGGAACTTGGGCATAAGCCTCGATCCTGTGTATCAATCCGTGAATTCGTGAAATCCGGGGTTTTTACTTCCCAAAAATTCTCTCCAAATAAAATTCTGAACAACGCCTCATTTTTCTAGGGTTTTGTTTTCGACAAGCAGATCGACTATACAGCCCTTAAGCAACTTTCTATTTCGAAGATTCTACGGACCTCTGAAGTCCTACACGACCTCACCGGCCAAAAGCGAGAATTATTTGTTTTAACCTTTGAACAAAAACTGCGCTTGTTCACCATGGCACCAGACAAGGACATTCGCCAATTTGTATCATGATTGAAGCGAGTGCTTTGCAAGACACTGGTGATGAAACAGCGGGAGCTCTTCCCTTACCGGAGGCTTCCTGCTCGAAGCTTCATATGATACGAATTCGTGAACTTAAAAAGGAAATTATATGGTATTGCTGCTTAAAACTGTTTCAGGTCTTCCATGTTCTAGCCTCCATCAGTCTATTGAGGTTGAAAGATTATTGCGCGAGAGCGGCCTCCTGAAAATAGAGCGGAAGTGTGACAAATACGATGCTTTACTGGAATATGTGGACTTATGTATCACCGAAAAAGGTTTCAGCGTTTATCTTTGCTGAATTCAGAAATAATTACAGAAGGTGAAATTAAAAACATCGAAAAGGCACTCAAGAGACAAGATGAATTGTTTCAAAATGAGCTCATGCAACACAATGTGATTTTGGCGAAGATACAGAAGGAAATAAACCTAACTAAAGACCAGTATAATAATAAGAAATCGGGACTTGGTAAGAGAGTGTTTAATTCGTAAATGTTTTAGTTAAGAAGCTCTCAGAAATGCAACACATTCAGCAGAGTCGCAGTGAACTCATGTCGAAGTATGAAATTATCAAACGGACGATCGATGACAAACTAGTGGAACATAACAAGTATTGTCTTGAGAGAAACTTACAACATACAATTGAAAAAAATTGGTAAGACTGACTTGTAACTGTTCAGGTTTTGACGACGCGTTAGTTTGCCCGATAGGGTTATTTTGAAACTCTTTTCAACCAAATTTTCAGGTTAATCTGAAAATTTGGTTGCGATACGCTTGGCTGTGGCTACGGTCGGCTAAGTGTAGAAACACATAAAAATTTTGTGCAGCTCAACATCTGATTATACTTTTCTCATGGATTTCAGGGAGCTTTATTTAGTGACTATTGCAGTTTGCTTGTGTTCACCAGGGGAATCAATGGTAATTGCAAAATTCATTCACCTCTGGCCAACTTTGTCCAGATCTAGCCACCAGTGACAGTGTTTACTGCCTTATGTGCCTCCAACTTGTAACGTTTCCATATAATCAGGGTTCTGGAGGTTGTTGTCCGCCAGGAAGTCTACTATCAGCGAGCTTTGTATGACACGTTAATGCTGACTGAGATCTGACATTTGGTTTGGCTAGAGGGGGGTTTATCTGTTCAAATTTTTGCCTACATTGGTTTTGGAGAGGATTGCTTCTGATCACCTTGTGCATTGTGCTGCCCTACAATGCATCGTGTTGCATTGCATTACATTAAGTTGCATTACGTCAGATGACCTCGCATCAAGTTACATTATATGGCACTACATCATGTTATATTGTATTACATTACATTACGTTATTACTAACATCCGGAGATTTGCGCATTATGCAAATGGGACTGATATTCAACCTGACGATACGTTATTGGACCAGAAACCACATCTGGACGTTTCTGCTCTCCCGGTGATTAGCGTGTGATTTTCTCTGTACTGATGCGGATTGTGTGCAATGTCAATAGATTCCCATGGCAATCCGCGGAGGGTTTCTAAGAATCACTTCTTTAATTTTGCACCGACGGAGGACACTTGACGAAATGATATCGCTACTTTTGTCTAGGAAAGATTTCAAGATATAAGAGATGAAGAGTGAGAGATTTATTATAGTGAGGACACTCAGACAAAATTGAGGTCCAACAAAGTGTAGCAGAGACCCTAAAATCGCCTAAGCAGGTGGATGGGCAATCGACTACGAACAAGCTACAAGGTGAAGCTCACCCTCAGTCAGAGTTCGAGGACGTTTGACGATACTACCAATCCGAGGCCGACGAGCGTCAAGTCTGTGGGAGAGGCTATTCTTCTGCTACCAAGAAAAATCTTAGCTTGTATGCAGACAGCGCTAACAAATGAGGACCAGTATTGTGTATGCAAATGTGGAGGATTTGGTTAAGAAACATGATAGATTTGAGAATCGGTTCGCTGGCCCTCTTCAAGCCTGTAGGGTTGACTGGTGGGTGGGTTCGGGACAGTATCTCTAAATCAAATGAAAATGCATGACTGCCATCACTAGGCTTGCGACTAAATTCATTTGATCACTCATTCACTCATTTATATATATATATATATATATTCAGACAGTCAGTCAGTCAGTCAGTCAGTCAGTCAGTCAGTCAGTCAGTCAGTCAGTCAGTCAGTCAGTCAGTCAGTCAGTCAGTCAGTCAGTCAGTCAGTCAGTCAGTCAGTCAGTCAGTCAGTCAGTCAGTCAGTCAGTCAGTCAGTCAGTCAGTCAGTCAGTCAGTCAGTCAGTCAGTCAGTCAGTCAGTCAGTCAGTCAGTCAGTCAGTCAGTCAGTCAGTCAGTCAGTCAGTCAGTCAGTCAGTCAGTCAGTCAGTCAGTCAGTCAGTCAGTCAGTCAGTCAGTCAGTCAGTCAGTCAGTCAGTCAGTCAGTCAGTCAGTCAGTCAGTCAGTCAGTCAGTCAGTCAGTCAGTCAGTCAGTCAGTCAGTCAGTCAGTCAGTCAGTCAGTCAGTCAGTCAGTCAGTCAGTCAGTCAGTCAGTCAGTCAGTCAGTCAGTCAGTCAGTCAGTCAGTCAGTCAGTCAGTCAGTCAGTCAGTCAGTCAAGTAGTCAGTCAGTCAGTCAGTCAGTCAGTCAGTAAACTGAACTTATGCTTCAGTATCTGTGAATAGTCCCAAATTACGTGTGAGGCGGACCACGGACAGTCAATCGGTACGATGGTATTTTTTATTTTATTGGTTGAATTCCCCTATAAGATTCCTCACAGTCGTAATCCATAACTAGCCGGTTCCAAGGGTCAGGCAAATGCCAAATTTGTGCCATATTGAACCACTATAGTCTACCAAAACATGGCTAGACTAAGGCGCTGGTTAGCTGAAGGTTAAGAACATGTTTTTGTTAGTGCCCGAAAAGTGTTCAGTTGCTCAGCATATCACTAGAATGACTTGACACTTCTCGGAAAACCGGAAATCCTGCCTGGGTCTAGTATTCACTAAGACCGGGGAAAGTCCATGCTAACCGGCGCATTAGGGGCCTTTGACATTCAGCAACAATTTAAAACTAAGCGCCCACCTTAGAGAAGCTTGGGCCCTAGAATACTGATAGCATTAATACCAAATGTGTGAAAGAAAGAAGGCTCTGTAGACATCGGTTGCTATTGCGCAGATATCCTGAGATATGCAGGATAAGATGATGTCACCGTGATCTAGAGTTGCTTTTGGGCAAATGTTCAGCAATCTTTCAGGGGGGGTTTCTAAGGTAAATTTCATTGTCAATGGGCAAAATGCTTGGAGCTTATCTATGTGTCGGACACGGACGGTGGAAGACGTACCATTCAACTGAAATATTCGAGGTATAAGAACAGCCATTATTACAGAAACAGCTAACACAATTTGGAAGGTGTAGAAAGTATGAATGCTAAAGGATAAAAAACAACTACAGTGAGTTTTTCTGTGTGAAAGGAAGTCTCAGCGAAGCAAATGATTTACTTTCCTGCAGAATGAAGCCTGATAGGATGCGATGGCAGTTGCCAGCAAGTTTCTTTGCCAGCTCAAAAGCAACCCTTAGTTCTCATAAGGAGCCCAAGTTACCTTAAATGGTGGGGTGTGAACCTATTGAACAAAAGACTTGTGGTTCAAGCCTAACCTCGGCACCTCGACTGCTTTTGTCTGCACTCCGGCAGCCCAACTGTATCTCAGCCATCATACTTCATTCGAGTAGTGTGGTGGTCATACGCAGATACCTTCAAAGCTGAATGGCTGTTATCATGTATGTACCACTCCTGGATTGATTAGCAGTAACAAAAGAACAGATATGCAGCCGATATGTGACTGAGGTAGCCCGAGTTACGTTCCACTTGGACAAGTGAAAAGCTTCTGTGCCTGATAATCTTTACTTGTTTACATATTCCCACCCAAAACCATTTCTTTCTATAAAATTTGATCGATCAAAGGGGGTGACGTGTCTACGGCTGCGTAGAATAAAGTTATCTCAGAGCCTTTTGTGAAGGTCACCGATTAATTTGATTGACGTCTATGAAGAGTGGTCGAGGGAACTCCCGCGGCAGCACGACGCATGGGGCTATAATGGAGCTATAATAGAGCTATGATGAGTAAATCCAGCTCATAAGTTCGTACCTGGGGGCAGTCAAGACCAGTCGAACAAGACTATCAAAAAGGTGCGGTCTTTTATATGACCACAAAGCCGTATTTTCCATTCTTTTGAAAGGTTATTCTATACCCTGCTCAGTAAAATGGATACCTGACCTCCTGGGAGACTGTCATTATTGACTTAGACTGAACGAACTGCTTTCAGTTCGATTACCACCTGAAAGTGTGATACAACACGAAGCAATAATTGAACCTATGCTAAGAATGGAAGGCCTTTTCAGGATACCTTGGAACGGCCGGAAGAGTGTACGACTGTGGTCAAACTAACGATGGCGATAAATAAATATTGCAACCTATCCATTAGCAAAACATTAGAGAAATGTCGTATTCCATAAGAAGATGAAATGTTCTAAGTAATTTTGACATTTTCGACTAAGGTACCATTACTTTCATCTAACATACGATGGACGAACACACGTCCAGGGCCCTGGAAAAGGCTAGTGAATGGTGAAGATCTTGAAGTGGTCAATTAGGCTGTGGAAGAGAGAAACTGAGGCAAAATTGCTGAAAATTTTCATTCGACCTGTCGTGGAGTATGGAGCGCTTACTTTGAGCTGGGACTCAGTGCTGGAACGAACGGAGGCTGGCTAAGGAAATGGAATCGGAACTGAAGCACCTCAGCTACATTGCTCATTACCTCAAGTTTGATTGACTAGACCTGGAAGACACTCTTTTTGCATCATTTCCATCTGTTGTACTGTCACTCTTTCATCTGGCGAAGAAGATGCCTATGGGAAAGCATCAGTACAAATTTCGAAAACAGTTTCCATAGGAGACCACGCCTGTTTTATTTGTAGAAATTCTCCACGGAGAGTATTGCACGGACGCTTTTGGCTGCAGTTCACTAAATAACTACTTGATCAGTCTCGTGAGATAACTGTAAAACCCGAAAACTGAAGGGCGTATAACCTAGGCATCCTTTCATGCTTCTGAACGAACCACATTTTAGCCACCTATAAAAGCACATGAAAGCTGTTATTGTCTTTTGAGCCCTTTGCTTAGGTTATGTTCTCTGTCACGCCACCGACTGACAAATTTCGTTGGTTGCACCCACATTCGAACCAGATATCTACAATTGTCAGTCAGACGTTGCCCTATACATCTTTAATTGGCTGATCCATTCGCCACTGCACATTGAAAATGCCTCTACAGATCTGCCAGATCAACATACCGTCAGCTCCAACACAGTCGATTTTTTGCCTGCCTCGTACAATTTAGGAAGGTCCAAAACTCCAGGTAAACTAATGTCGGATTTGATTTGTTGTGAACTCGTCATGTAGGCGCAGTCCACGAATTTCAATTGAATCCCTCATCTTTCCTCAACATCGATTGGCGAATGTGTTGTACTGATCTAATCTTCATTTGGGGAAGAATATCACCACCGAGAGATCGATACGATGGACGCTCGCGTCGAGTATACACAATAACAACATCACACTAGCTCTAGCGACTACTACGTGGCGACTGTCACGCTGATCGTGACAGGCAGAAAAACTAAACGTTTAGAATAGCCAGAACTGAGCATTTGCTCACGTATGGCCATAAACTAGTCTTGAAAGTCATGAAAGAGAAGAGAAAAAAGTGGGAGGGAAAGGATATGGTGCCATGATTCCAGAAGCACTTCGGAGACCTTACATATCCGGCCATCTGTTGGAATACTAAGGGAAGCCGTGAACGGTAGTTACGTGATCTATCGGCATCCATTAGTAATATGCTTCATTGCGGTTCCAAGTGTACCCAGATTATCCTCTGGATCACATCAAGCAGATTAAACGTAGCAATTTAAGTAGGTATCAGGTTACAAAAATACAGACACATACTGAGAATTCAGCAATAAGGACACATTGAGGCCAATTGATCAGCCGAAACAAACGATAAATAATGTCGGTAATGAGTTTTGTGTTATATCCCCCAGCAATTAGTGCTTCTGGGAAGCCTCTTCGTACAACTCGTATTTGGCCCATTATTTGATCTGGACAAACCAACAATTTTGGGAGCACGCCGCGCATTCAGGCTGTTGGGTTGATAGATATTGAGGTGCAAATATGAATAAACATGGTGTATCTCCCGGTGCCTGATTCTACAAGACTCTACTGGTCTATCTAGCTATGTAACAATAGTTTACGGGGATTACAATTACTTTTGTAAGCAGATGTTTTTTTATTATCGCATTGTTCCGGCTGAGATGTCCTTATTGCCAACGAGCCCAACGTATGCTGAAAAGCCCGGAGGCGTTGTGCAGTTGCTTCATTCTTATCATAAGTGCTCAGCATTGCACACTTGATAGCATAACTGAGAGTTAATCAGTAACACTGCTGTTCAGTCGCTCGTGGCCGAACAGTTAAGCGTTGAACCACTGGAAGAAAGGTTCCCTGTTGGAAACTCCTTGAGTTCCTTGAGATGTGCATTGCTGCTGATTCTCAATAATGATGACACAGATATCCGGTGCTTGCCGAATTTTCAGCATAAACTGACCGCGCTGACAAGATCAAATATCTATCGAAAATTACCAGGTCTCACACCATGGACAGTTCAGTTCAGACATAAATATCGTGGGTTTCTAGAAGTTATGTCGGGCAATTCTTCTCCTTGCTCAACCCTTTGAGGGAATCTCACGATCAATCAACTTTCAAGTGAGTTTTCACCATCAGCTGACATCTTCGAACAAAACATTCCAACGGTCATTCGCTAGAGGTAGAACCTAAACCTAACTTTTTATTAAAATCATATCTATTGACAAATACACTCATTCTCATAACAATTCCATTTTTAAGGGAACCCCTCGTTTATGTGACTGTTCATTTGAGCCTTTCGTAAAAATCAAGTTGATATATAAATGGGTGTGTTGGTCGAAATCGGTCAAATTTGGATTTCCGTGGAACATAAAGTTGAAGGAAACTCGGGGGTTGGACTCACCTGTTGAACCCCAGGAAGGACGAAACCTGTCATGGGATGTCAGAGTCTTCAGCAACCTTGTAAGTAGTTTCCTTTTCTCCAATCAGTTTACTGCTGTCTACTCCAGGATGGATTTTTGAAACATTTCCTTTTGAACACAGATTGGCTATCAGCTACTTGGGTAACGCAGCCAAAATCCTGGCGGGGCGCTGACGCATTAGTAGATTGCCTGAGTATCTTGAAGGTCAGTGAGGGAACAAACATCCAAACGCTTAGTTGTCCTTTTGGTATGACTGAGCGAGCTTTTCATAATTTTTGTAACGGTAGAAAACTAACTGAACTAAAAATGGACCTCTCAATGTTGGATCGTCAATGATGTATCAAGTTTTTTCAACCTAGTTATGTACAAACTAATTGCTAACTATGTATCAACTTGAAAGGGGGACATGATGAGGGGAGAGAGGTTTTGATCCCTAGTTGATGACTTCTTCGGTCCAATTGGGCTGACTTCCACTGGGACAACTGATGGAAGGCACCAGTGTGAGTTCTCCAGAAGAAGTCCCTTTCCCCGGAAAATCCACTAACGTACTCTAGGAGATCCCATGGAGTACATTATATACCAACGTGATACAGCTGATATCACTGATAGTTATTCTACGGTAAATGGATTACAATTTGCCTACTTGAATTTTTTTGCTTTCTCTTAAATGAAGTCTGCAGGAGGAAGTGAAGACTCGCATTGCACAGATGGCCGAAGAATTCCGCATTGCAGCGAAACAGCGTGAAAAACACTGCCAAATCAAAACCCTGTATGCCAACGGTGTACTTTTCCAGCGGTGGTATAAACTTGCGAGAAAATTGCAAAACGCGCAAGGGAAAAACCAATTCCTAAGATTAGCAACCAAAAAGCTGCGCATAGAAATCGACCTATCAGAGAGCATCAAAGTTCAAATGCAGAAGAAATTGATGAAACGGCTAAAAGTAAGTAAAGGTAGTGGATAATGCTCTTTGCTGACCTTGAAATTACAATCAATTTTTTTCTAAGTTTATGCTCAATCCAGATCTTACATTTTGTATTACAGCTCTTACGGACTTCATGTGAAAAAACACACCTTACGGTGAATGACAGTCATCTCACCCTCAAAATAGTGACAACAGAGACGAAAGTGAAATTAGCTGGAATTTCGGTACTGAACTCTCTGAACTGACTTGATGCTGCTCTCTTCTTGGATGGAAAATGGCACTACTATAGTCTCACTTCAAGTTTTTTTTATTAAAGACCGATTCACATCCTGAATCCCTTTCACTCTGAGTAATGTTGTTGCAGCCGTTAAGCCAAACCCAACTCCAGTGTGTGAACCAAACATGCCTTCCCCTCCAAGGCTTGGTTGCATGTTCCACTTCCCCGTTTTTCGGTGATCGAAACTGTAGCAGCTGAAACCAATGTGCCTATGGCACGTTGAATTGAACTGAATAAGTATGCCTACTAGGTTGCTTTTTAAACAGATCTGATACAACTAAAATCAACACTGCAACACACCTATGTTAATCGATGTTTTTCAGTTTTTAGGTCTTCTGTAAGTTATTCATTACTCCTGAGAAGTCGGTCATCAAAAAATGCGTATCGATATGGGCCAAGGTTGTTGACCGGACCACTTTCTCTGTAGGATTGATACACGGCAAATGATGGGGTACGGACTAGAATGATAGATCAGTGATTGTTTTGGACTCTAATTGTGGTCGCACGCATCCTTCTCGGGGCATTTTCTAAAGTACAATAGATGTAGAATAACCATGCAATAAGTTGGAAACCGACAAGGCCATGTAGTGTATTTACAAAAACCAATGAACACCAACAAAATTAACTTTTATGACGGTACTTTACTCCGATATCTCTTTCACTTGTCATGTACGGTCTTGATATGAAACTTGGCAGTTCCCTTTGTGCAAACCAACAGATATCGCTTCACACATGATGCATCTCTTGGTGCATCTTGAACTCACTTCTGGACATTTTCACATTCCGATCTAGACAATGCTGTGACAACCCAGCGTGTGAAAAATATGTATAAATAAATCGTTCAGCTGTAGCACCCTTTGGTTGCCAAACTGCCATTCTACCAGAAGGAAGCACGGGGACCGGGTTACCCAAGCCTAGACAGGAGAAGTTAAGAGGCAGTGATCAGGTTCGAACCACAGACCTTCCGGTCAGTAAATTCGTGCCATAACCACTGAGCCATCTCGCCCCCTCCCAGCATGCACATTCGAGGTAGTGTTTGGAGGTGCGTCATCTAGAAGATTTCGAGATCTTCCGTCTTAATAATCTGATTTTACTTTTCCCACAGGCATTGTTAGTCCAACTGAAGAAATGCAAAATTCAAGAAGAAGCTTACCAAGACTCCCAAGGAAGTTTAAGCACGGAAATTGGTGACGTTAAAACGGTGGATTTGAAGCCAGTTTCGAGAACCATGGAGATGAGGGAACGAAGACAAACTCTTTTCACTAGAATGTGCGCTGAAAAGTAGGTCCTCCGCGAATTTCAGAATATTGGTTTGCCTATCAGGTTGAGCTTACTGTGAAGAGATAACAGAAATGATATTAGTCCCTCAAAATGTGCACACAATAGTAGAAGGCTTCCAATATGAACAAATTCCTTATATCAGTAGCCCAAGGTGTGGATAGTGGAGCCACTTCCCGATTTGAACACAGCTGAAGAGAACGAAAAGGACTGTGGTTAGGACGTCTGTTCAGGTTGCTGGACAACAATAATGTTTCCAGATTTTGGAAAAGTCTGTTAAGTGGACTCCTACCACAAGAAGATTGTTCTGTGTTTTCTAGATGAACGTGGTCCGCGCACAGACAGAACTTTCTGCGAATCCCAACTTTGTTGGACCAAATATGTGTTTTCGGGACTCTCACGAACCCGAAGTATGTCTGACAACACAGTGTCAGTTAGGCTTTGAGTGCCATACGACTCCGGCGAGTCCTCTCGAATTCAAAGTCCCATGAGATTTTCAGGTAGTATATTGATGAGTGATAAGACGTCGCCTACTGAACGGAAGCATCATGCGATCCTGGTACTCTCAGTGGGCACACTACGTTCTCGTTGCATCCGCTACTAGTAAGATGCGTTTTCGAATCAGTCGACCAAAAATAGAAAAATAAACGACCGCTCGCCTGCAGCTACGTATATTGCGTACTTGTTTCTCGGCGTGCATCAGATCTGCTTTCTACAAGCTGCAGGTATAAAGAAACCAGTTTCTGATAGTCCACCAATAAAAAACCCCAGGATGGTGTAGGTTCTGTGGGCACGCTGAGGACAGACAAAGACCTGATGCGGTTAAACGCCGGTCTGTTGGAATTTTACGACAGTGAATCCCTAAGAAAGCTGTGGAATTTCGGGGATTAACATTGTCGAGAGAGAACTGGTGGTGACATTGTTGGCACAAACGTGTGTAGTCGTTCAACCGCAACACCCTTTCGGTGCCCAGCTGCCATGCCACCTGAAAGAAGCACGAGGGCTGAGATACTGTCAGGTTGCCCAAGTCTTGACAGGGGAAGTCGAGACGCAGAGGTCGGGTTCGAATCACAGACCTTCTGGTCAGGAAACTCGCGCTCTAACCAGTGAGCCATCTCGCCCCACAGGCGTGTGTCAAATAAATATTTATCAGTATAGCAGCTGTTCTGAAATGTAGCAGCATCTACCAAGTTTCCGAAGCCAAAGATCGTACGCACAGAACTGTCTCTGGTTGGGATATCAAGAACATTTATTTTGTGCTGTTTCCGGCAAGTTGAAACCGAAAATCAGGCAACGTTATCTTCCATTTTTTAAATAAATTGTACTCATTTTGACCAAACAGTTCTTGTAATACTGTTACGCCAGACTGAGTAAGCTTGACTGTATATTGCCACGTATGTTCAACCTAGTTCACATCAAACTCATGCAACACATACAACCTTTGTCTGCAATCCTATAAGGTCATACAAATCAATAGAATTAAGGGACATTTAGGGAGGTTTAAGGCACCACTGGGCACCACTTATTTGTTTGTGCTCATTGTATTAGCTTTGCCACCTCTTTGAAAAATCGAATAACTCACTCGTGATCCACCTTAACAATGTGAAAAACGTTTCGACCTATTTAATTTGCAACTTAGGTGGATTCGTTTTTTGGGGCCTACTTCCGTCATTTTGTTCTCTTGTTGAAGCACACGAAAAAAGGACTTGCTATTTTCATCATAGAGATTTTCTGTCCATATAGGAGGCTCAGTGTGATAGTGCTGGCACTTAAATTGATTGACTCAAATTTCATTTTTCTTTTGTTGAACTTCCGGGGTTGACGAAATCGTAAATTCTATTGAAGTTTTAAACCACTCTTGGTAAACTTTGGGCACGCGGCAAGATAATTCAGGCTGAAAATCGTGAGTTTAATGTTTGAAACAATTTTACTGACGACGATTGCAGGCATACAAGAATCTGAATAGTTTTCACCGTCTAACTGGAATATTTCTACCCAATCGAAGGTCTCGCAAGTGGGATGATAAAAATAGACGTTTTGAAGTTTTATATACATCAAACATTCAGGCTACGGCAAAGACCAGCGGTCGATGGGGACACTAACTCACCATGATCGGCCTACTGTAAGGAGATTTATGGTTGGAGTTAGCCCTTCCAGTTTATCGGTTATTCGTCGTGGCTAATCGGTGACTGCATCTTATACTAGTCCCTGCACAGCATCGTAATGGTAGGGGCTTGGTTTTTGCCCGTCTCACCCTATGAAAGTTGCTCGACCTTATCTGCTCCAGGCAGGAGACGCTAAAGTATAAAATTTAGGAATTATGGTGGTTTTTACCCACTATTCGTCTTTAACCGGCTTAAAAAATCCTTCAGCTGTAGCGCCGTTTAGGTGACTAACTACCATGCCTTCAGAGGGAAGCATGAGGGCTCGGACACTGCCGGGTTACCCAAGCTAAGTTAAGGGAAGTAGGGAGGCAGTGGCCGGGTTCGAACCACGGACCTTCCGGTCAGCAAATTCGCGTCCTTAACACTGAGCTACCTCGCCCCCCTAACCGGTTTACCTAACCGATTGCCTGGAATGAAATCTATCCGCAGGCGATGTTCGACTCCATCCTCTCCTTTCTCCGTTATTTTCACACAAGGTATTGTTTGGATAACGAACCGAAATGTTATTCCAGTAAATCATCGGTTTTCGATGTGGAACATTCGGGACCTGATTAGATCTTCAAAGATACTTTTTACAGGTTGAGGTGTCCATGATTTTGAACCTTACTCATCTGACTGGAAGCCCATAAAACGTACTTTTTACTTTATGAAAATTGCATAATGAAAAGGTTACCTTAAGTTAAAATGACAAATTATGAGTTTTTGCGCTGCATAATTGAAGACACTTTATTTTATATCATCTCTTGGGTGAGGCGTTTACGGGAGTCATCAGTAATCCTTTATAGCTCGTCCAGAAGCTTTACTCGGCAATGGCTGGAGGACAAAGAAGTTTATGACAAATAATTCGTTTGAGATGGTGATTTGGTCGGAAAAAACCTGGTTATGTCTTGCACTCCATAATGTCATGCTGGGTAGAGAACAGGATCATATTCTTGTGGTGAAATACAATTTGGCGAATATTCTTGCTTTTGTCGTCGCCGATGTGAAAATGCTAACAAGTATATGGTTACTGCTGTAACCTTTACTCGCCGGCCAAGACCGGCCGAAAGGCACTGGGAAGTGCGTCGTTACCCGGCGTATATCCTTGGAATTATCCAGAAATGCGGCATCGCTTCCCATAAGAAACACTATAGAGGTTGGAACGAGCTAAACAAAAGTGACCGCTGTAGAAGACTGCCTGGGATATTTTACCATATAATTTGGCTTTACTGTTCACTTGGATTGCGCAGCTTTATTGAAATAGCTAGCTGTCCATGGTTTAAGAACTTCACTACCATTCTCATAAACGATTCTAGTGAACACGTGAACAGTTATTAAGAAAGCGAATTTTTGATGCCTTTTTCCTATCATCCATCTTGCACTTTTGCACGGCCATATTTAGTTGACCCTAGGGAAGCCTTCATACAACCTCAAAGCTTCGCGGGCACCTAGTTCAGTGACCAGATGGTCCTGAAAGTAATACGGCAGAGAAGTTCTTCTGAAGTTCTCGAGGAATACACTCATTTGCAAATCAATTTGGTTTTCACGGGAGACTCAATTGAATCTCTCGTTTATGATGTCCTCCAGCTGAATGTGCTGCACACAGGCGGCCTCATGATTCATTTGGCACGATATTCGAGATATCGCAGTATATTTTCATAAAGGAAACCAAATTGATTGGCAAATGAGTGTATTTCTCGAAAACAGTCCAATTTGGGTTCAAGTAGACCATAAGGTTGTCGGAAACTCGGGGACTGCGCCTACCTGATGAGCCCCAAGAAGGGCGAAACCGGTCGTGGGCTGTCGAAGAGTTTTCAGCAACCTTGTGAGTAGTTTTCTTCTGAAGTTCTTTTTGGATGTGGAATTCGTTAGGATAATCTGCCAATCCAGCCGGTGGTAGCCTATTGCACGAGGAATCCTAGATCTTTCTTTAATGCTGTTAGAAGATACAGGCATCTTGTTCTTGATTGCCTTCTCTAAAAATGTGAAGTCCGTCTTGCACTCCACTTTTCTGTTTCGTGTATTTTATGGTATGGGGGAGCGTCAAGTGCTGTGTGAAGGAATCTACATATAACTAGTCGAAGATTTTAGCACCCCGGACCCTTCGTGGCTACAGGATACTGTTTCCACCGACCCAGGCTCTTGGTGGTGCATTTTCTTTCCTGATTGCCATAGTTTACGACAGAAACTTGTTCACTCAGGACTGATTTCAGTTCTCGGGTGACCAGACATTTCACATCGATGAAGAACCATGTAAATGCTGGGCTGGGCTGCGCTAAATGGTTCAATTTGCTGATGTGTTCAATTTTCAGGGTTCTATTTTGGTGCACCGCCGTTTATCCCGACCAAAACAACGTTGATTACTTTTTAAATACCTCCGTCTTCAATTGTTTAACGAACAAAAATTTTCAAGTTTCAAATTATCGACACGTGTAACTTTTCATTGCCGATTTTTATGGATAACATCGAGTGACGAGCTTTCGAAAGCAATCACAAGTCAAATAACAGCTACACTTCCATTAAATTTGCCAGACAAAAATGACGCAATACATTAACTGACAAAAGTGGTCATTCTTTTTTGCGTTTCCGAGGGCCGAACTTCAAGAAGCTAAGATGTTGAGCGAACAGCTGAACCAAACACTCTATTCTGAATATGATCAACTAAAGCGGTTGACTTTGGCGAGGGAGAAAATGACATCTTTATTGTTGCTGATGTTTCAATTTTCAGGGTTCTTCTATTTTGGTGCACCGCCGTTTATCCCGACCAAAACAACGTTGATTACTTTTTAAATACCTCCGTCTTCAATTGTTTAACGAACAAAAATTTTCAAGTTTCAAATTATCGACACGTGTAACTTTTCATTGCCGATTTTTATGGATAACATCGAGTGACGAGCTTTCGAAAGCAATCACAAGTCAAATAACAGCTACACTTCCATTAAATTTGCCTGACAAAAATGACGCAATACATTAACTGACAAAAGTGGTCATTCTTTTTTGCGTTTCCGAGGGCCGAACTTCAAGAAGCTAAGATGTTGAGCGAACAGCTGAACCAAACACTCTATTCTGAATATGATCAACTAAAGCGGTTGACTTTGGCGAGGGAGAAAATGACATCTTTATTGACGGAGATGATGAAGGCACTCGCACAGGCGAAAGAGGTTCGTTTTAACTTTCATTCTAGTTCTCATGTTAGTTCAGGAACAGACAGTATTCTCGTACAGTTTGGTTCCTTTTTAGGAGAATAGTATCCCTTCACTCTCTACTCTCTAATCTTTTGTACTATAGATGACCTGTAAACGGTTTCCAGTATATTTTAAACTTCCTGGGCGCACACGTATCGTGTTTACCTTGCAACTGGGGAAAGCTTGGGTACAAGTGACGCCGCCCTTCGTATCTTGCTTGCCATGTTATCTAGGCAGAAGTGCCTAGAACAAAGAACTGGCCGTACCACCTCAGAGGTGGATTTCACTGGGAGTGATCAATTGAGGAACTGAAAACACCTCCCTCCATTACTTGCTATTTAGTGATTCGCGCTGATTCGCAGCGCGGAAGAGTTAGTCCCGTTCAGATTCTTAGTTGCATGAAGTTTCGCATCAAACTGATACTTGCGACGTCAAATGTTATAACTTATGCATGTTTAAAACACAGTTTTGTCTCTCGTTCTCAGCGATTTTTCACTCAGCAATTTTCAGACAACTTGACTTTCTGTACGCATTTGGGCCAATAAGTCCAGCTGGATGTTTAATCTTATAAATAACCTACCGGTTAGTAATCAGTAATTTTAGGGTTTTATCGAATATTCAACATGGAAATTGTGGTAAATTCCCTGAAGCTTAGTCTCAGAACAGTTTTAGCCCTTGTCTTGATCGATCTTTCTAAACCATACCCACGGAAGATTATTTGCGTTTCTTGGAACCGAGAACATCGTCATAATCCCAGTTGTGACCAGGTTCCAAGAGTAGCATTATGCAAAAGGGAAATGCGCCTGCAGGCTACCTCCCACGAAAGGAGCTTGGTTTTCTTTTTGACTACACACTAGATCGCATTATCACGAGGAATAAGACGGTGGATCACCACCTGTTCAACATTCTGAGTGTGTTTGAAATGTGGCAACAGTGCACGGAGAGAGCGTGATGCAGTAATGTACGAAGGCTGAAAGTTAGTCCTGATGAGAAATAAATGGTATTCGAAAAATGTCTTGTTCAGCGTTTGTACGGTGTAATGTTGTCTGCGTCAATAATATGAGTTACTTAGAGTAGATTTACTGAGGGCACTAAATCCAGTGTCTTCTCGAATGGCGTATAACTACTTCATTTCTCGAATTTGCATTTTCTTCAGACCGTCGAACTGATTACAAGGAATAATAAAACTAGAGATTTTTAGCTATCAGATTATTGTACTTAACTGATGTAAGTGAATGATGCTCCAGTGCATCAGTGCTTGCGCACTTTTCCAGTTTTAACTACTTATGTAATGGAAGTAGCATCTGAAGGTTCAACTCGATTTCGCTGTGATAATAGGTGCGAAATATCGGTGTTGAACATTAATGTCACGTTGTTTATGATGATGCTGATGATGATCATGATGATGATGATGATGGTGATGATGATGATGACGATGAGGATGATGATGGTGACGATGATGATGATGATGATGATGATGATGATGATGATGATGATGATGATGATGATGATGATGATGATGATGTGCTCGCATGGGATAAGAGCAGATCATTTTTCATGTGCGCTGTACAAAAGTAGATTTTCAACTGCTGCATTATTTAAAGGATGTTTTTTCCGTCATCCTAGGTGAAATGACAAAGCTATGCTGTCGATTCATTTGATAAGAAGGTGCTGCGTGCCGTACTCACTGAATGTGACTGGAAGCTAAAAGTATTTGGTATGCGTGGGAAGTGCCTGGTGTGGAGATGATAGGCGTATATTATTAGAACTGGCAAGTTTTGCTTCTCTCAATCGACCTTCGTCCTCCGAAGCGAGGAACCTACTTTTTGGAAACCACGGTTTGTTGATTCTGTGATGAAATGACTGCGTAGGACAGGCATGCGTTTGAATGCGGTAGATGAGAACTAGTGATTCCCTACTCGGGCAGCAGGGAGAGCAATGAAAGTATAACGTACCATCGCATTTTCGTTGCTAAGCTGAGTTTCCAGTTCAAAAGCAACACGCAAGGCCGTTGGATATTACGAATGCTCACACGTACACGTACGCTTTCAACTTGATGGTGTTTTCATCCACAGATGCAAGCACAAGTCAGCGTAACGTCGCAATTACGATAAAGTTACGAGGACGCGTAGCGCTAGCAAAATAAATTTTGACCAGTATCGATGAAGCTGGGTGATAACCGCCATTGGACTGACGACATAACTAGCTCTGTAGCGAAAAGCGCATCAATACAGTGATGCTTGTTGGGCAAGCTCATTGTATCGGGACGGGATTGTACACTCCTTCTATCATGTGATGATGTTTTGTGAATTTTCTTAGTTTCCAAGGCTTAGTTTTCGAAATTAGAGAGTTTCCCCTTGTTCGACAGTCTTCCTCTAGTGAACTACTCTTACGAAGAGGAAGATGCCCCAGATTGTAGTGTCTTCGTGTTTGGGGCATTGTCATAGATTTGACCACTGTAATCAGGTCAGATCAAATTGGATAATGAACTCAGAATGGCTCAGTAGTTAAAGGTTGAGTTAGAACCCGACCTGTTCTCGCCTGCCCCTGTCTAGTTTTGGTCAAACTGTCAGGACCTCGGTCCTCGTGCTTCCTTCGTGTGATATGGCAGCCAAGCACAGATTAATTGGTTGTTGGGGGGACTCGAAAGGCAGTTGTAACACTCTTACAGAGGTTAAAGCAAAATGTGCGTCGTATAACACCTACGTTGCGATAAGGATGAATTTAACCTTGTTGAGGACGGAGCTGCTGATACTGATGATGGGGGTGATGATAAGGATGAGGGTGGTTATCTTTCAACTCTACGACCTACCACTGTGTGACTGGACCTTGTCTTTAAGTTTATCTTTGACCTCTGAATTTCTTCCGCAGTTATTTGAATCTAACAAGGCTATTGCCGATTCAGAAGGAAGCATTCGGAAGCAACGACTATTAGCTGTATTTTTCGCCCTTCTCTACATGACCAACCGACTTTGCGGGTCAGTGACACCCAACAAACTCGGAATAGCCAGAGTATCGAGACAAATGTTTGTAACTCATTTTTCTTCCGATTCCGGCGTGTCGTTGGCGAAGAGAAGGAGCGAACGGTAAGTCAGGAATCAGTGTATCTTCTAGTTACTTGTTTTTACCAACAAATCTACATAGTTTATAGTGTTTGGATAATTAATCGCTATTTTAGGAAAGGATTGGATTAATTTGCACAATGAGCAAGTTAAGTGGCTGAAAATCCACAACTTCATGTTTACTGTGAACTTCAGCAATCCTTTCGAAGAAAGCTGTCACTAGAAAAGCAGCTGCTTGACGAGCGCGTTTCGATTGATGATTCTGGGGAGACTGGGTGGCGTTCAACAGAGGACGTTGAGCCAAACTGAGCCGATGCTTCACATGCATGAGGCGAGTTCTGACGATGTCTTTCGTGTGCTTGACCTTGCGGTCACGTCAGAAGGTAGCAGGTGCCCAAACATTCAACTGAAACGTGAGCAGAATGGGACTATCACCGTTGTCCGCAACGAATTTGCAAATCGAAGGATGGCTGACAAAAGAACAGTCGTGAAGCGGTACCTTATTCTTGCTGTTGATAGTGAGCACACTATCAAGTTGAACTTCAACCTTATGGTCACAAAATGTCCCTAGGGTAACACTCGCTTCCGCGTAGTGGTTTTAGGTTTCGCTTCTGAGAAGCACAAGGCATGATATCACCGTAGACGAACTGATAGTGAGTATCAAGTTGAACTTCAACCTTATGGTCACAAAATGTCCCTAGGGTAACACTCGCTTCCGCGTAGTGGTTTTAGGTTTCGTTTCGCTGAAGCACAAGGCATGATATCACCGTAGACGAACTGATATCTGGACATGCGTAGGCGAACGGAAAACAGGAATATTCGTCTACGATCGTCAGTAGATATTTGTTTCGAGTCGTCGAAGGCAGTGGTCCCTTAAAGTCAATGCTTAAGCGTTCAAACGTTTGTGTGGCTTTAATGAGGGTACCGCCAGATGACTTGAAGAAACGTGGTTTTAGTTCCGCACACACTTGACACTGCTTAATGACGAGTCGGATATCCTCTAGGGAGAATGGTAGATTCTTGGCACGAACGAAATGCATCATGCGTGTTGCTCCAGGATGACACAGGGTTGTGTGTAAGCGTTTTAGATCCAGGTTAGATGAAGTGTTCGCACAGACACTTCGAGAAAGCGTGTCAGCAGCTTTGTTTTCTATGCCTGGTCTGTAGGTAACGTCAAAAGAAAAAGGCGACAACTCCATCCGCCACCGTTGGATTTTGTCATTTTTTATTTTCCCTTTTTGTTGTGTTGAGTACATGAATGCAACGGATCGCTGATCAGTTATAATTTTGAAATGGGTCCCGAGTAGGTAATGCCTCCATTTGCGCACTGCTTCGACAATTGCGCAGGCTTCTTTCTCAATAGCGGAATGGTGTTTTTCGCTGGCAGACAGTGTACGTGAGAAGAATGCGACCGGTCTGCCATCTTGATTGAGTGTAGCAGAAATCGCGACATCAGATGCATCAGTTTCGAGCACCAAAGGTATTCTCGGGTCGATAGTGACCAAGGCTGCATCCATCAACTCCTTTTTCAAACTTTCAAATGCTTTCATAACAGATTCAGGGACAGGAAAGGTTGTATTGTGAGTGATTGGGTAGATCTTATCCGAGAAACGGCTTATCCAACGAGAATAGTACGCGAACAATCCTACCACTCGTTGTTGAGACTTGATGTCGTTCGGAACGGGCAGTTCTTGCAATACCTTGAAGCGTTCAGGGTCTGGTTTGATGATACCTTCAGTAATTTCATAGCCGAGGAGTCTGAGCTTAGTGGTGGAAATCGTGCTTTTATCGTGATTTAACTGAAGGCCGTACTTTTGTGCTACGGTGAGGAAAAGCTGGAGGTTTCGATCATGTTCTTCTTGATTCTTTCCACAAATGGTAACATTATCCACATACGCATATGTCCCGGTAAGTTGTTCGGCGCGTATTATGTCATCCATTACCCTTTGAAAACAGGCTACCCCATTCGTTACTCCGAAAGGTATTCGACGGAACTGATAGAGGTTGTTGCAAGCCTCAAAAGCCGTGTAGATTCTGTCGCTTTCTTTAATGGGTATCTGATAATACGCACTTTCAAGATCAAGCGTGCTGAAAATACGATATTGAGCTATTTTAGTACTTAAATCTTCAAGTCTGGGGAGCGGATAAGCGTCTAGTTGCGTAAATCGGTTTATAGTTTGACTATAGTCAACCACCATTCGCTTCTTCTGTCGTTCATTTGTCGTGACGAGCACTTGCGCTCTCCATGGGGACTTCGAGGGTTCAATGATGTGTTGGTCAAGTAAACGCTTTACTTCAGAAGCAATGAAGGCCTCGTCGTCTGCAGAATGTCGCCTGGACTTTATGGCGATTGGCTTGCACCTTGGGTCAATATGCTCGAACAAAGTGGGAGGTTCAATTTTGGCAGCAATTAGGCCACAAAGGGAAAAAGAAGGTTTGTCACCGTTGAATGAGATTTCCAGGGACTTATGAAGCTTAAGAAAGTCATGCCCTAGCAAAATATCTGCACAGAGGTCACGTAATACTGAAAACTTGAAAGAGGGATACTTGTTTTGTTTGTGTTGCAACGTTAAAAAGCAATGTCCAAGAGTAAAGCTTTTGTGCTGGATAGATGCCAAAGTTATCTCAGATGACGATGGTAGTACAGACCACTTGTTACGACGGACTACCTTTTCGGAAATGAAACTTTCTGAGCTACCAGTATCAACAAGAGCTCGAAGCGGGACACCATTGGCTTTCACATCGGTGACTGCTTCTTTTAGACACTCAGGAGCCGCTGCAGTGACGCAAGATAGCGCACTTGAAACAGATGAGGTGTTCCGCGGACCAGTAGATCTGCATACCTTTTGAAAATGCCCTTTCTTCCCACAGTTTTTGCAGGTCGCATCTTTAGCGGGGCATTTATATCTCGGGTGACGAGCATAGCCACAGAAGAAACATGAAGACCCCACACTGGCAGCAGTCGCCTGCTCGTGCGATGACGTTTGAGAACGTGGGGACTTTGGCGGGTCGTTCGATACGGTGGCACAGGGAAGTTGAGTGTTCGGCAAAAACGACAACGACTGTTTTTGCGCTAGTTCGAGGGACTTTGCATGGTCGTACGCGGTTTTAAAATCCAGCGACTTATGTTCCAGCAGTCTCTGGCGTATAGTATTGGAATAAAGTCCGCTAATAAACGCATCTCGCAACGCTTCATCGGTATGCTGTTCTGCACTGACGGCTGTAAAGCGGCAGTCTGGCAATAAACTGCGAAGCTTCTGCACAAACTGATCAAGGTTCTGAGCTCCGTCCTGTTTACAAGTGTTCAAAAGATGCCGTGCAAAAACTTCATTTTTCGGCTGTACGTAAATTTCTCGCAAGGTTTCGATGGCTGATTCATAGTCTTTGCAGTCTTTGATGAATCGGTAAACACTAGGGGAGACGTAATTGAACAAGGTTTTCAGTTTATCTGGTGAATGAGAACCGATTGACTCTAGGAAGTTTGTGAAAGTACAAAACCAATGCTCCCAGGTATCTGCCGAGTCTTGAGTATTGGGGTCGGTATCGAATCGTTCAGGACGTAAGAATCGATCCATTGTTCGAAGAAAACTTTTTTGGATGAATAAATTGTTGTGTACGACGAGGGTCGGAGTGCAACGACAATCAGAATGACAATGGAAAAGACTGAGGGCCCGAAAGCTAGGCTTTATTCATCCAAAACTTTGACACTGAGAGCTGAAAACGGAAGAAAGTGATTTAGCAATAAATGATGAAACGTTTGAAAAACAGAGCAAATATATAAGAAATGCCAAGATAAAATCTGTCCGTCACCGTGTCCTGAGCTTGAGTCCGGCCAGGTTTACAAATTAAGGTGGTACAGTCCTGCTGACCACGTCTCACCCTGACCTACGGCTCCGATCTGCTCAATTAAGTGTTGCTCATATGTGTGTACACTTCGATTTCGGTTGTTTTTTCTCAGAGCAGTAGGTTTCATTTTGTAGTCTCCCCACTCTATCCACTTATTTCCACCATTGAATACCGTGTTATTTAATTTAGTTGGTGACGTGGTTGCTTACGTCACAAGCGGGTAGTGGCATAGAGGAGGATGCCAGGCTGTAAGTTATTCTTTGCAAATCGAGGATAATCTCAAGCTCCAGCAGTTGTGAAATAGTTTTAAATGTGAACTTAGATTCATTCGGACAGAGAAACCCTGTTTTTGGACAGTTTAACAGCCATTTCTGCGTTCACTTGAGTTCCAAATCTAAAGGTAGTTTTTCCTTGCGTTCTCTAAATTCTAAGGGAGGGGGCAGTCGTTTTGGGGGAGAGGAATAAGTTGTTTCCCGAGGAACAACCATGTGAACTGACTAAATAGGTGGACATGATCTCCACAGAGAAAGATTTTGTAGCAATCCAACGAAATACTTGATGTGGACGCTGTTAGAGACTGCTCACTCTTGGAAATTCCACGCCGGTATCAGTATGTTCTAACTAGCATAACACATTCGATTGAATCTATCCACGTGGTCACTTTTAGGGTCTTTCTCTGAAAATGAGGCTTGGGTTCGTCGATTCTTACACTGTTTTATTTGAAGTGGTCATACATAACCCATCCTCCTTACTGGCACAAAGGTGACTCGTCACATAAAATACTACCATCAACTCAGAGGATTTCAACATTTTATTAGGGTACTCTTTCCACAGCAACGAGTGCGGCAAGGGCACTTTACATATGGATGTGCGTTCTGCCCATCTGAAGTTGCGACCATGAACCTCACATACTCTGCTTAATTACTGAATGGTGAATTGCTGGAAAGTAGAAAGCACAGTGGGAAAGATCCAGTTATTCACTACGCACAGGCCATAGATATAAGTCCCGTCAGTTAGTGAGTCAGGTTTTATATCCATAATGTATAATATACCATATTTCTACAGTCCCGGCTGCTATTCACAATGCGCTTCGACTTAAATTCTGTTTATTACAGAATCTATCCGTTTTTTCAGACCGTCACGGCCACTTCAGTTGGGATCCGGTATATCGAACGTGAACACGTCTGGGAATGAAACTAGGTCGCTTATTGGTCAGTTGTCAAAGAACTCCCAGAGACTGATAGGCAAACACTTGGGGCTTTCAACATCATCCGTTGGTGTCCAAGCCACACCAGCATGGTTACGGCGAACAATGAACGCACTGGAGGAAATTCTGGGGGAACCGGAAGCATGTGCTTCGGAAAAATTGACATCGAGTAAACGACGGCCTTGGTTAGAGATCGACTGTAACATTTGTGGACAGTTGTTCAGTGTACCGGAAACCTAATCTCGGACATCAGTGCACTTGGATTTTTCGGACCTGAGATAAAGAACAATTTCTATCTGTGTCAGTAAGACTTTTATTAACCTCTTCAAAGGTATTTTCCTACGTTTATCAGTCAGTCTCATTTTCAGACATGTTCTACTTTCAAGCGGTTTGAAAAGACTACTTCAGTGCTCACAGACTTCCGATTTTCTTTCTACTCCCTAAGGATATGAAGAAACATCGAGTAAAGCCTGTTCCCATCAACAAGCTATATTCATTCAATAGTTCTGTGTGTTATTCCTTATAAACACATCATCCAAGTGTTTTGGAAGGAGCGCACAAGCTGAACTCAGCCTCGCTGGCTGAACACAAAAGACCGGTTCTTTGATCATTGCCTCAAATAAATAAGTGAACGACTGATAGGTATTAGGTGACAGAAAAATTGGTAAACCAACTAGTGGTAACCCATGCCGAAATACCGTCGACCGAGACGAGTGTTATTCCCCTTGCCTCCTTCAGAATGGCGCCAACCGCGAGGTGGACAGCACATGGCTTGGCAGAAGGGCGTGAAAGAGATCACGAGGAGTTTGGGTGTTTTTTGGTGTTACACGGCCTCCAGGATGGGTTCCCCGTGACGCCGCCTGTGCTTGGCTGGAGATGTTGCAAGAAATGGCAGCTAGTCGATATCAGTGTCGTTTGTGCTGTCAGTTTCTTTTCAGATTGCCTGATTGAGTGGTTTCGGGTGTAGGCACCTCGGAACGCTTGACATAGGCCAGCACTAGGTTCCCTTCCTCACCCACTCCTTTAGTATAATTATATACATATATATGTATACATATATACACATATATATATGTGATGATTTAAGTCGTTGGTACATGCGTTAAAGCTTACAGCTAACTCGATAAAAATTCCATCAGGTTATTTAGGTTTGGTGAAGAAACACGGATACATAACTTTTGTGGGACACTTGGAGTTGCCTCAGGTTCTTGCACTGAAGGGCCTATGGAACCACAGAGTAAAACCGCTTCTACAGTCGTCTTGTATACGCGACCTTCCACCTTCAGTAAATTTTGGTTCTGACGCCGTAACTGATGCAGTTTCGCCAACGACCCCTTAGTTATCCGCGCACTTACTTCATCTGTTATTTTACAGTCACGACACGGCTTATGCGGCACAAGGGAATAAAAAACTTGAAGTAGGGCTTTGCACTTTGAAGGCGTAACACGCTTGTCGAAAAATGGGATGATCTCCGATATTTTGGTTAAAACAATTTGTGCGGACATATAATTGTCGAACAACATAACTGTGTCATCCGCATGATCCAAACCCGCCAATCTTTCTTCAGATGTGATCTTGATACTTAAATTCACGATCCCTTGGTGTTTGCACTCATAACGATGTCAGCAGTAAAAACGAACAAAAAGGGAGAGAAGGGACAACCCTGACGCACTAGACTAGTTGTCAGGAAACTTCTGGATGGTTCGTTGTGAATTCACATCCGACCGGGGACATGGACATAAAGGTAGAATCTATAGGAAAGGTAATTTATTAGCAGAGTTGAGGGCTCGCCTGAGAGCACGATTTTTGGTCGGTGGCATAAGTGATACTGCTCAAGCACTGCACGTAAAGATTTGATCGATAGACCCTCTTCCAGGTCGAAATCTGCTTAGTGCTCTCGGACTTCTGTCAATCGTGCCGAATATAGACGTCGCAGTATAGAAACCAGTAACGACGTTGTGACAGTTGTAAGTTTTGCGGGATGTGTATTGTTCATATTTACATCACTCTCCTTTGAACAGTCGTCCTCCCGTCCTGGCTCAAATATTCCGGTGAATCCACACCGAATTGTGTGTATGTGGGGGGGGGGACACTGGACTCGAGTTTCACTCTTATTAGAGCAAATCAGCAATGCATATCCAATGACCGTGCCGGAGTTTGAACTCCGGATACTTGACATGCGAGGCGAACGTTTTACCTCTATTCCACCAGCGCACATTGTACGCATCTGAATTCTCACTTCTGAACGGGCGAATTGTTCCCGCTTGAGCGATGTGATCGGTATGCCCGACACATCATCGAAACGACGACCCAGTAACTGTCCTGGTTGTGGCGATCGATTGACTCAGAACAGTTACTGGGTGGTCGTATCGATGATGTGTGCAACTGAGCTGTGCAACCCTTGCTTTGGGTAGGTATTTGACCAAGCCCGTTGATTCAAGCAGAGGGAGCATCAGGACGAATATGGTTAGCGGTTATATGAGCCTGGGTTTAAAAGCGCTGCCTATATCAAGTAGGTTTCAGTGGGGTACCACATTAAGGAAAAGAGGGAATTAGCTGGAACTAGACCCTGATAATGTCTTTGCCACTATTCGAATGAGACTGGCCACAGGTGAGTTGACTTGACCATTCTGCCCACCACAGGAAAGTGCAAAAATGCATCATAACTTAACCCACACCGAATATGCTACTTACAAAAGAAAACAGAATCGGCAATTATTACAGACCGAGTGGCAAACGAGGCTATCGAGACAAGTCGTATGTACTTAGCAAGCAGTAGTTCTTCTATTTACTGATCATGGACAGCACAAAAACAGTGGCCAAACATTGATGGCTCGCTGACGTACAACCATGTTTCACCTGAAAGTCTTATCATGAGGAAAAGAATATAAGTGGATGGGGAAGGGACTTAGTGCTAGCCTACCGAAACCACCCCGAGGCACCCACATCTCCAGCCACTCATTCGGACACATACAGATTAAAACTGAAAACAAGAAAATCGTTGACGTGGATTAGCAGCCATATCCTGCAACTTCCCCGACCATGCACGGTGGGGATCACGTCGACCCAATTCTGGAAGAGTCGCACCCAGAATTTTCGTAATTTCTTTCGTACAGTTATGCCAAATCAAATGATGGCCACGTCCCTTCTTGCATCACTTTGAATTAGGCACAGAAAACAGCACCCTTTCGGCAAACGTTGATACGGTCTGCGCAATGCATTGATTAACCACTACAGGCTTTTTTGGACACCTTCTTCGATTGACGTTTCTAATGCATAACTGAACAATTATTGTCTCATTGTCTGCTCACGTGTTTGTCGAGACTATCCTACACAAGCTAAGGTTCTGTGATGTTGTTTGTCGCAAAACAGAAGATGCCTCAGTTCCGGTATTTCCGGTAGCCACGGTACGGGCTCTTTTGTTGTATGGCTGTGAGACTTGGCCTATTCGAGCAGCGGAACTGAGACGTCTTCAGGTGTTCGACAATGGTTGTCTCAGAACCATAGCTCGCGTGGGTTGGTGTCGACGAATCCGTAACGAGGCAGTTAGAAAGCGCGTTTTCGGTCGTGTAACGGGTATTTCCATTGAAGAATGTGTCCAGCACCAGAGGCTGCGTTGGTTGGGACATGTGTTACGTATGCCGAACCATCGTTTACCGAAGAGAGTGCTGTTTTCCATACCCAACTCGGAGTGGCGTAAACAGAGAGGTGGCCAACCATTGACTTGGCAGAGG